CTTTTGTCGAAGTGGAATCGTAGAACAGAATGTGACACGATGAGATAGAATGCAAGAGAAATAGAAACAAGGATAGCGAACGGGTTACCTACTCCTATGGGTCAAAGCAAGCCCTTTAATTCAATTCAAATTCATAACTGTCTCGATAGAATCTGTTCCTTCTTTTTTTATCTAAATATTCAGTTAAGACCATTCCAAGGCTCCTTTTCACCGTGCATAAACTAAACCAACAACTAGATAAGCACGAGAACCAAAGCTTCTATAAAAACGGATACACCCAGTACGTCGAAATTCATTGCCCAAGGGTATAGAAAGACGGTTTCCCAATCAAAAATAACAAAAACGAGCGCAAACATATAATAGCGTATTCGGAATTGTACCCAAGCCCCTCCCATGGGTTCTATACCCGATTCATAACCAGAAAGCTTCTCCGGTCCTTCACTAACCGGGGCTAAAAGCCCTGAAATCGAAAATGCCAAAATAGGAATAAATCTTGTTATTATTAGAAATGTCCAAAAAATATCATATTCGTGAAGCAGAAACATAATGTACTATGCGACTAAAATGTACTTCCGCTGTACCAAAATATATGTCGTTGAAGCAACCAACCTCTCCAGCGATATATATTTCGGTATGGAGGGAGTATATATGCATAATATCAATTATGTTGCTGTTGATCTCAATCGTTCATGTTATTAGAAATTATTCAATGGAACTCAAATTAAATGAATCGAACGTTCGGTCAGAACAGAGTACATCGAGATGAATCCGACCAAAACCAAAAAAGGGAGAAAAAATTACCACCAATCCGACCGGAAATAAACACAACAGGCACACCATTAATTGATGTCTCAGCAGAAAACGATGATGATCTCATCAGTTGAACCTGCTGCAGACCCTGCGGACCTCTCCCTGTGTGCCGGTAAGCACGTTGACCTCCCCCAGCTTGGCGAGCGCCTGTGGGAAGAGCCAGCGGAAGTGGTCAGTGTTGGCGAGCCTGTCGACCATCCAGCGCGTGGAGCCGTCGTTGTAGAGGTTCTGGTCGACCATGAGCGCGCCGCGGCGACGCTGCAGCATCTTGTAGAAGCTGTTGTCCAGCTTGGACGCGCTGGACCGGTCGTCCAGGAACACGATGTTGTTGTCGGAGGATGCCGTGTTGGGGCACACGTATGTCTTGTATATGGACGCTAGCTCCGGGTCCATGCTCGGGTCCGTTGCACCGGCCTTGCCGCCGTAGCTGTAAAGACGGCTCTTCTTGATCATGCTGCAGTGCGCGACGCCAACCGTGTGCGCGCCCAGGAGAACGACCATGTCGTCCGAGCTGAGGCCGAGCGTGCCGAAGAAAGCGGCTGCCTGCGGAACCGTGAAATCTGGCCCCGGAAGTTTCACGTCGGTGGCTATGGACCGCCGGCGGTCCCTGCGCCCGGTGCGCACCGCGTATCCTTGTCCCGTGGACGCATTCACCGCGTCCCTGGTTGCGAGGATCTCAATGTCGGAGCAGGATACGACGCCAGGGCACCGCTTCTCAAGTTCCATTTTGATGGTGGCGATGAGGTCGTAGCCCTTCACGCTCAGGTTCGGCTTTGCCGTCTTCTCTGTTCCGGGGCCGTCGATCAGCAGCCCGCCGTCGCAGCCCTACGCACGTATAGTCAAACAAATTAGCTTTCAGTTTCCAGAAAAGAACAGATTAGTTAGTCTATCTATCTGTGGATGTGCAGTAGAAGAATTAGTGGTGCGCACGTATGAATCAAACGGCACATTGGTATATACTATATCATGCTCTAGCTAGCAAAAGCTCATAAAGTCATAATATACGCATACATTGACGCCGCACTCATGGAACAGCAAGCGTAGGAAGTGGGCGACGATGGCGCTGTCCTGGGCGAATCGGGCCTTGACGATACCCCGGACCACCGCCTCCACGTCGTTGCCGCGGCACTTGCCCGTGTAGTACCCGTTCTGCAGCTGCGCCTGGCCATCGGTGGCAAGCCCAAGCACGGCGACGGCGAGCACCACCACTAGCACTGCTGCCTTTGTGTGCCCCATCGTTGCCTAGCTAGGTAGATACTCTTGGTGCTTGAGCTATGGGAGGTGTGAGAAACCAAGGGCTTATGTCTATCCTATTTATAGTATAGGTTAGGGGAGGACACGGTCTCCTTGAAGTTGTCTGATGTTTGGTTGTGGAGATCACGTACCTAGATTCCTTTCTTTCTCAATTATGCAAGTGGGTATGTGCTAGCTGCTGCTTGCTCGAAATTAGTATTGTGGTTTGATTTCTGGAACTTTCGAGGCATCCTAGTTTTTGTTCGCATAGGATATGCCAACCATGATGATATCTAGTGTGGTATACGGTGTCTCTTTGATAGATAGATTCATAGATAGGAGTTAATAGATGACTAATGTATATACATGCTCTTATTTAGATTTGTTTTGAATTTGGAAAACCGAGGCCATGATTCGATCTGGCGTTCGACCTCCTGAGCACTCGAGTTATTCCGGTTGGTGCTTGACCTCGCGTTTCGGTCCCATCATTTTATTTAGACAAGCCTCTCTGTGAATGCTGAATTAAAAGTATGAACATTATCTCTTCAAGATCCCTATCGCCTCATCTTCTCTCTAAATTTTCAATAGTACGTTCTTTTGGTTCTATCCTGGTTTTAAAATTGTGTTTCTTCAGGATTTGGAAGGCCAATCAATTGTATATTGGGATGTATTTCCACCAATTTCTGGGTCAAATCAAATTAAGAGTAGCTGTAATCAAGCTAGATAATTACAAAGTGGCATCATTTTAATGCCTTGTGCAACTTTTGAATATTATGTTTGAAACATTGACAATGATGAGGGACACACTCTTTTGATTGTTACTCTTAATTAATTATATGTAACTTTCAAGACAGAAAAATAACTCTTTAGTTAGTTCTGCTTTTATAGGGAACACTGCTTTATGCCCATTTCGTCTGTTGGCATGTTCAAACCTCCATCAACATGGATATACATAGCACTATCTCAACGCTCTAGTCTAAGAGGGAAAATCATTCGTTCTCCAGAAATTGTTTGCGTACTATTTGGTTTTGTATTATTAGGGCATGCTCAAATTGGTTGAATGAGCATATATAGGGTACCAATCAAAATAGCATGTCCCTCATCATTGTCAATGTTTCAAATATAACATTCAAAAGCTGCACAAAGCATTAAAATGACACCACTTGTATGTAATTATCTAGCTTGATTACAGCTAGTATTAGTTTGATTTGACAGAGAAATTAGTGGAACAACATACCAGTATACAATTGATTGGCCTTCCAAATTCTGAAGGAACACAATTTTAAAACCAGGATAGCTCCAAAAGGAAAATACTATTGAAAATCTAGAGAGAAGATGGAGGCGATGTGGATCTTGAAGAGAAAATACCGTACTTATTTGGTGAAGGTAAACATTGGTGAAGAAAAACTGCAATTTTTGTACTGTTCTTTCAGCACAGCAAAACGCGAGGTCAAGCGCCAACCAGAATAACTCGAATGCTTCAGGAAGTCGAACGCCAGATCAATTCATGGCCTCTGATTCCAAATTCAAAACAAATCTAAGTAAGAGCATGTATATACATAACTAGACGGCGGGAACTATTTTAACACCAGTCATATACGAACATTGCGAGGTGTCCATTCACCATTGGCGTGTTTCAAAATTATGTTTCCCAATTGAAAGAAATCGCTTGATGGGGCTAGTTTATATTAAAGCATACACATATATATCTAAAAAGGGTAGAAAAGTCTATGGTAAAAATTAGCCAACCATTGCATCTATAAATGTGTCCTCATAGGGAAAGAATAGAAATGAAATAGCATGATATTGCATTGCGGAAAGCCGCTGCTAATCATGAGCTCATCTGCTCATTGATGAGCAGTAAAATAAAAATATGAAACTTTTTTTACATGAAACATGAACAAATTATCTGTGTGTTGGGGAACGCGGTAATTTCAAAAAAATTCCTACGCACACACAAGATCTATCATGATGATGCATCGCAACGAGAGGGAAAGAGTGTTGTCCACGTACCCTCGTAGACCGTAAGAGGAAACTTTATCACAACGCGGTTGATGTAGTCGTACGTCTTCACGATCTGACCGGTCCTAGTACCGAAAGTACGACACCTCCGCGATCTGCACACATTCGGCTCGGTGACGTCCCACGAACTCTCGATCCAGCTGTGTGTCGAGGGACAGCTTCGTTAGCACGACGGCGTGATGACGGATGATGATGAAGCTACCGGCGCAGGGCATCACCTAAGCACTACGACGATATGATCGAGGTGGATTATGTTGGAGGGGGCACCGCACATGGCTAAGGGATGAACGATCAACTTGTGTGTTCTAGGGTGCCCCCTGCCCCCGTATATAAAGGAGCAAGGGGGGAGGCCAGCCGGCCCTTGGGGCGCGCCAAGGAGGGGAGGAGTCCTCCTCCTAGTAGGAGTAGGACTCCCCCTTTCCTAGTCCAACTAGGAGGAGGAAGGAGGAAGGAAGGAGAGGAGAAGGGAGAAGGAAAGGGGCGCGCCGCCCCCCTTCCCTAGTCCAATTCGGACTAGAGGGGGAGGGGCGCGCGGCCTGCCCTGGTCGACCCTCTCTCTCACCACTAAGACTCATGTGGCCCATTAGTTCCCCGGAGGGGGGTGGTGGTTCCGGTAACCCTCCGGCACTTCGGTTTTCTCCGAAATCACCCGGAACACTTCCGGTGTACGAATATAGCCGTCCAATATATTAATCTTGATGTCTCGACCATTTCAAAACTCCTCGTCATGTCCGTGATCACATCCGGGACTCCGAACTATCTTCGGTACATCAAAACACATAAACTCATAATACTAATTGTCACCGAATGTTAAGCATGCAGACCCTACGGGTTCGAGAACTATGTAGACATGACCCAGACATGTCTCCGGTCAATAACCAATAGCGGAACCTGGAAGTTCATATTGGCTCCCACATATTCTACGAAGATCTTTATCAGTCAAACCACATAACGATATACGTTGTTCCCTTTGTCATCGGTATGTTACTCGCCCGAGATTCGATCATCGGTATCTCAATACCTAGTTCCATCTCATTACGGGCAAGTCTCTTTACTCGTTTCGTAATGCATCATCCCGTAACTAACTCATTAGTCACATTGCTTGCAAGGCTTATAGTGATGTGCATTACCGAGAGGGCCTAGAGATACCTCTCCGATACTCGGAGTGACAAATCCTAATCTCGATCTATGCCAACTCAACAAACACCATCAGAGACACCTGTAGAGCATCTTTATAGTCACCCAGTTACGTTGTGACGTTTGATAGCACACTAAGTGTTCCTCCGGTATTCGGGAGTTGCATGATCTCATAGTCATAGGAACATGTATAATTTATGGAGAAAGCAATAGCAACAAACTAAACGATCATCCATCTAAGCTAACGGATGGGTCAAGTCAATCACATCATTCTCTAATGATGTGATCCGTTAATCAAATGACAACTCATGTCTATGGTTAGGAAACGTAACCATTATTAATTCAACGAGCTAGTCTAGTAGAGGCATACTAGTGACATTCTGTTTGTCTATGTATTCACACATGTACTAAGTTTCCGGTTAATACAATTCTAGCATGAATAATAAACATTTATCATGATATAAGGGAATATAAATAAAAACTTTATTATTGCCTCTATGGCATATTTCCTCCAGTCTCCCACTTGCACTAGAGTCAATAATCTAGATTACATTGTAATGATTATAACACCCATGGAGTCTTGGTGTTGATCATGTTTTTCTCGTGAGAGAGGCTTAGTCAACGGGTCTGCAACATTCAGATCCGTATGTATCTTGCAAATCTCTATGTCTCCCTCCTTGAGTTGATCGCGGATGGAATTGAAGCGTCTCTTGATGTGCTTGGTTCTCTTGTGA